TCCCATTTGTCATCGATGGATCGACTCATACAAAACCGATCGTCTATCTGCAGCTCTAGAACTCATCACGTTCTTCCTCCACAGCACTGGTTCCACACTCAAGGTTCCCATATCTAAAAAGACACTTTTGAAATTCGAAGCAGCCTTAACTGCAAAGACAGTTCCAGAATTCTTCAAACAAAATCTCAAGTGCCCTTCCAACATGAAACCCTTTACACGAAAATACTCCATCTCAAGATTCATCGAGTTCTTCAAAATTCTCTATTTGCAGTACCAAGGTGCGATCCTTTATCAGAAAGATTTGCACAAGAATGTCATTATTCCTCTTATATGCTTTTCATTTTCATCGGTTTTTACCCTGAAGTTTGCCAGTACCTTTGTCCTTATTAAGCTGATAACCCTGCTCGAAGAGGTGAAGACAATCACGAAATATACCGAAGAAAGCAATGAATTCCAGCTAGAATCAGAAAAGAGGGGAGTCCCCGCAGAAAAATGCCTTGCAAGGATCCAATTCTTGCAGAACCAAAACGATGAATTCGAAAAGAGTAGAACCATTATCATCGATACAATAACGACCATCATCAAATATTTTATGCCTCCACAATCTTTGAGTGTCGTCAACAAGAATCTGATTAACATTTGGGTCGATGAGCTAGAACTTTGGCAAAAGGCCTGTCCACCGAGACTCGTCTCCTATCTCAGATTCATTTTCAAGAACCTTAAATCCACGATCCCAGGGGTTAAACTGAGATGCCTGAAGATTCTTCTGTTTGTCTACGACTTTGCAGGTTTTAAAAACCAACTGGATGAATTCAATGATGAGATTGAAGAAGGCCTCCTCGTAATTCATTGTGACGAAGACCCATCTATAATTATCAGGGGAGTCAAACTCATGCAGGCCATGTTCACGAATCACACAAACATTCTGAGTATGGAGAATTATAAGACCGGGTATCAATTAGTTTTCACCAAGAATAAGGAGGTGGCCAGAGAATTAGTCAAGATATTTTACGATGATGATAAGCTTAGTCCCTGGAGGAACCCCAAATCAAATGAATCAATCCTGAACTGGTTAGTGACGTTCTTCATTGACTCAGAATTCCCAAATCGTTCTGCAGATTTTGTAGATATTATTTTCCGTGATTTCGAGTGTCTACAAGACTGGGAATGCATGACGAGATTGTTACTGGAAGGAGATGTCAATGACAACAAAATCATTAATCTATTGAAGTTGATGATTCCCTCAATTCAGCACGCCGAGAAGGAATGGAATCTTCTGAACGTAGGAAACCCTTGTGTATCACCTAATAAAGTCGCATTTACAAAGCATTTCATTGTGAATCTGCCACTTCTTTTTAACAAATTCAAGGATATCTCTGATTTACTGCAGTGCCTCCAGGTAATTCCGAGATATATGTCTCTTGACATGTACCGATCTCGTTCCTATCAGTCCAAATTTAACCATTTGTTAGATGCAATTCCTCCACTCGGAACCGATCTCAGTGCTATCGTGACTTACATCAAGATGTTTGAATTTATTTGGGAGGGAGTAGAGTTAGGGGAAATCCCGAAGAAAACATGCAATTACAGTACGTGCTGCAAGTTGATCGACCAAACGGAGACATCTATGAACAGCTACATGATAAGCAGTTTACGTGGAACACCTCCGGATGATCAAATCGCAAATACTATATCTGAGATGAAGCAACTCGCCACTTCTTGCAATTGGCATAATATGAATGATTATTCAATATTCAAGTCTATCAGCGGAATCCTTAAGTCATCCAAAGACCATTGGAATCATCTGTGGGATGGAACCATTCGCATTGTCGAATTAATCTACAAATTCCTTCGCCAGAAGAAGGATCATTTAAAGTTTTTGGAATTTTTGGGAGACCTTGAAAATGGTGAAGTTGTCAGACTAAGACAGCAACTTAACGGATTCTTCAAGGACATGAACGACATCGTGAAGAGAAAAAACCAAACCACCTTGAAGATTCGTGCAGAAGCTTTCGAGTTCATCTGTAATTTCCTGGTAGAGTTTCGTAAGCCTTTGTATAAGGAAACCACTTCTCGTATTAGCCAGATTTGCTACGAGCTCAATAAGGATGATGGGATGATGTTACGCAATTTAATGCTGAAGTATGTTTTCGCCCCAGATGACGTCGACTATAATGAGCTTCCGGACCAGAAGAATATTCTAATTGCTGAGCTTCCCTACCAGAAGAAGATCCTAGCGGCTTTCTGCAAGCTTATTACACATAATATCTTCCCGATTCACCAATGTATAGATATTTTCAAGCATTATCACTCTTTTCGTGATATTTATGGAGAAATACTCGAAAGGACACTGCAAAAAGTCATGAAGACAGAGAGTATTCTGTCGAAAGAGAAACGGTCTATAAGAAAATTGCTCGATATCGAGCTGGCAAATTGTAAAACACATGATGTCCTGTCGTGGGAGTTGTTGATCAAGTACGCAGATAGTCTATCAGTCCCAGAGGGAGATGAGGGTGACATCTGTGAGGACTCATTCAAGGCAAATGATCAGAACAGTGAAGAGAATTCTGAGAAGTACTGATGAGGGATGATTAAACCATTTGGATCATAAAAATTAGTTGCTTTTGTTAATCATATGTTTGGCCCGTCCCTTTTCAATAAAGATTAGTTTTACAATCGTTCACTTGGCTTGCTTTAATCCTAGGCTGATCACATCACGCAATTCAAAGATTCTGGTCGAAACCTGAGATATTAAGAATCAACCCAAACACCCTTTGCTACATGATTAATCAGTATGAACGTGTACAGGCCTTTTGAATTTATTTGAACGAGATAGTCCCCGCGTGCATTCATTGCAAATGTTCGAGATTTAGCCACGACCTCGTGGGAACGAGTTGGTTTCGTCTCACGGGTCTTAATCTTCCGGTTATTCAAGGTATTTTCAGATCGATTTTCTGTCTCCTTTTTATAGTAGAAAAAAACATCGTTCTTATTGTAAAATAACGTATTTGCATAATAATAGTTAAAATAAAAAAAAAAACTGCGGGTGGAAATTGGTTGCATGTCCGAGAGCCCCACTTACTTCAGGGAATTTTTAAAGGGACGGTGAAATCTCGTCTTTTTTTTCTAGGATCAATAGGAACCGAGACAATTATCCCATTATGCCCTCTTCAATTATTTATTAACATAGGATCGTCCCCACGCGCTCCACTCCGCCCGCGAGAAATTTTCTAAAATAAATCTGGGGCGCGAAAAAATTTCTCCATTTCGTTGCTGTGCAACGAAGCATCACGGGAATGTCCGATAATTTTCAGTCTTGGCGTATTACAACTAATAATCACTCTCCGATTCTACTTATTATTTATTATTTTATTTATTCTATCAATACTTTCCTCACTATCGCCTTTCCCTCATCTGCAATGAGGGTATCCTCTCGTTACATAAATAAACAAATCAATTGCTCTAACTCTCTAAGTGTAAGAAAATAAATATTATGGTCAAATCATTTGAATCTTTTTAGCGAATTATATATTTTTTTAACGGCCAAAACATAAGTTTACGTCTAAACGATTGAGTAACACATCTGCAGTCGCATAAGTACTATCGCCTACTTGTTTTATTTCCCGTGACTTTTCCAAACTGTTCTTTGAGACAGTTTATTTAAATAGAAACGTACGTTTTTTTTTTCGTGCAATTTCTATTCGGGATGATATAGAGTACGCACTCTAAGGTATAATGGTACCAAAATTCTATATACGAAGAGAGTATGCAATCTCTATTTCTCACCATGAGTATATATAAATAGTCTGCAGTGGCTATTGCGGGACGTCACTTGGTGGTGCGGTTTGTCGCGTACACACAGGCCAATTTGGCACTGCCAGTACGGAAATAAGTTACACTTGCTCTAGGAATATCAGTAGTTGAAAAAAGATTAGGAATTATTATCAGTGATATAAAGAGGGAATAACTAATCATCGTAGCATTTTTATTATGCATGAATGAAATACATTTTTATTATGCATGAATGAAATACATATATATACATATATGTATGTATTTCGTAGCAACAATTTTTCAACGTGTAAATTTTTATGAAGAGGAAAGACGGGTAAAAGTGATATTCATCTTTGTTTCTTGGACCGGCGAAAATTGAAATGTTGCATTTTGTGGGGCTGCTTTCAGAATAATTTAATGGCCTGTCACTTTGGGAAAATAACAAGGTCTTTAGAAATTGTTCAAAGTATTGGGGATTTTCCTGCTATATTTCCACATGTTCACGGAGAGCTGAGTTCAGTAATCTATGTTGTTTCGCCGTAAATTGTGGAGAAAGATTACGCACAAGTAAAGATAAAGATCGATATGAATATTTTTTTTACTTTGGGCGTAAGCCGTCATTCACTAAGAGATAAACGGAAGTAGATATTATGTGAATATGGAACAATTCGTCATCGATGTTTTCAGCAATTCTTAAAAAAAATCGTACTAATGCACTCAATATCTCGTTCAATCAGTTAGGGATTGAAGCGCTTAGAAATTTTCCTAGATTCAGAGCCATTACAATTTTCTACATGAGAAATCTTTTAAATACGACTTTCATGTGAAATTACTTTAGAAAATACAACGGGTAAATAAGAAGAATTAGATTAAGAAGATTCTCTAAGCAAATAATTTTTAAAGTTGTGAAATTCAATTGTATCCTACAAAAAGGAAGATTTCAGATATTCCAAACTTCCATTTGTTTTCCATCGAACATAATTTTATAATGAAATATCATTTATTCAAGATTGATATCTTAAAAATAGGTACCGTCGATGTAGAAGAAAAGGATCATTTTATTATTATGAAAAAGAATTTGGTCGATCTTCAGATTACGAACTGAAGTTTAAATTCTTATATATCCGAAATTGTTCTCTTCACATGGACTGATCGAAGAGATCCTCAGTAACTAATAAAATATACCGTAATAATAAATTGTAAAATGATCATTTAATTGCACTTACCCTTATCTTTGTCTTCCTTGTTTTTGTTATCGAAAAAACCCGTCGTAAGTGCCTTTCGCTTGAGCAAATAAGCTCGTCTCTTTGGCTTATTAGAAATGGATCCAGTGCCGAGGGACTCTGTCAATGATACAAAGAAAAGGTCATAAGCGCGGGAATAAAGAACAAATGTTCGTTATTTATAATTGAGGGTTTAACTGACCACTGGGTGGTCTGATGTGGACACCAAGATTCAAAGCTTGCAGCTTGGCAACAGCCACTCTGCACAGGACTTTCCTCTCAACCTCTGAAAGGGCTCGAAGCGGTATATCTTGAAGCGTCACTCGACGCCCACTGCTACCTGCCCACGTACATTTTCCCTACGGATCATCAAATAAATGTAAAAATCCCCTCTACAAATACACCTTTCAGACTTTATCGCAACTGCCAACACAAAGGCATCTGAATTTTTAATCATATGGATCTAAATTCAATTTCTGATAAAGAGTCACTCAATTTCATATTTATCTTGAAAATAAAATAATGGCTTTTTCATGTTAAATAATAATTGATTTTCTAATGAAATAATTCGAGGTTGACCTATGACATTGTTTCATGATTAGAATCATTTAATTGAATTTTTTTTCCTGTTATGAAATAATCATTTGAAACTTTCTCACGTGTCATTGGACTTTTTCTGAGGAAATGTGACGCAACAGTAGCCAACGAAATTCCTGTGGTATGCACGTGTTGTCAAGGTCATGCCAAAATACTTATCTACAGGTTACGCGAACAATGCAATGATAATAACTTGGAAAATCTGAGAATTACAAGAAATGCATGGAAACACTGTACATTCTAAACAGGTGATTGACAAATCAGAAATTGTGCATATAAAGAAAAATCCTTTCACGATGAGACATTGAATGATCATAAAAATTAAAAAGGGGATATTTTTTCACATTAATTTTATGAACCCTTTCACAAAATTTGTAAAAAACCCGAAGAATGAGAAGATATCGACAATAACTTCTGAATTGAAATTCGATTCGACTCATATAATTGAACATTCAAATGACTGTCACTGAAATGTCATGAAATTTTCAACGTGTCTATGTAGTCTTATGTAGATTAATCATTTCGTTATTATAATGATCGCTTTAAACGAACGGGGCATACGATTTTACAGATGAATTATAAGATAGGAACCAAATAAAATAAACTAGTAATATACCTGAGGCGTCCACGTAGAGGGTTGATTGACGGAGCGAGAAGTGCTTTTACTTCTCGATCTCCAAATTTTCTTCGCCACCAATCGACTGCCATGATGAACGACGCTGCTAGACGACTTGCTCTTCTGCATCGCTGCTCCACCTGCGGAAGTGGGAGAAGTAAGAGCAGGTGAACCTGGTGCAGAGTGAGGTTTATCCTTATGTGTATTGGAACCATGGAGGAGATGGGATAAGAAAGATTGATGGTGTTTAGGTGTGCTAGGTTCCTCCGAACCGAGACCTGCATCCATACTACTTCTTGAGCTAGCATTTCTGCTGACAGGCGAAGTAGTAGTATCCCCATCTGAGAAATTTTCCCCAATATCCAGGGACAAAGAGACATTCTCCTTGTACCCAGCAATCCAATTATTCTCGGTTTGACATCCCTTGCTGTTGTCTTCATCATCCCCAGGTCTCGTTATTTCCCCTTTCGCTTTAATATTCCTTAAATTTCTGTCATAATTCACCCTCTTGAATCTATCTACTTTATCAGTATCCGAAGACTTCTTCCTCGCCATCCTCAAGTACCTCTTGATAGTATCACTGACAGATGGTGATACATCATCATTTTCCACACTGCTTCGCCTTCTCGAGCTTTTTCCACTATCCCTTGGAGACAAACTCGCCTCCTCTCTCTCCCTTTCAGCATACATCTCTCTCAATCCTTCCAGCATTTCCTTCGTGATGGAATCCGTCTGGGCACAAGCATCAACCGGTCCTCGATCAGTACTAGGCCCTTGCACAGCTATCAATGGAGGAGGCGAAGTGAAATCTCTCCTTCCAGGTGTCTGATCATCATCCGAATCTTTTTGATTCACTCTAGTACGTGGAGTTCCCCACCAGCGAGGTGGTGATGTATAAGCTCCAGTTGCCCTGGGACCTCGAAAGCCCCTCGTGCATCTCAAATCGAAGTATAATTTTTCGAGAAGCTTTCTGTCAGTCAGAATACCAGAAATTACATGCTCCCGATTAGGAGACTTGGCGTAATGACGATTCAGAGTGTCAATCAGTGATTTGTGAACATAATCCCCACGATAAGATAGCATCGAGGATGGTTGAGACCCACTTGAACTGAGATGGCCTTGAGATTTATCACGAGATTGATCACTTTTGCCCTCGGACATTATCATGTTAAGGTGCTGCTGAAGTTTATTGATGAGGCTTTGATAATCGAAGGGCATTTCTGCAGTGATTGACGGTCCGTCAGGCTTACTACCTTTGAATTCTGAGTCACCAGCGGTTGCTGAGGACTCTCCCTGCATATTCAGGTACTTTTGCAACATGTCTGCAAGAATTTTTGCTTCAGCATCTTCTTGAGGGGCCCGTCGTCGAGCGACTGGAGTCGTAGGAGTGCTACCACTTGATAATAACCAATCTCTCTTGGTCTTAATAACGTCAAATCGTCCACCAGACGTTGGTTGAAATGTAAAGATTTGAGCAGAGCTTCTGGAGTCATCAGCCTCGTCTGCAGAACTCGCCTTAGTTCGGCAGCTGCCCCCTTTATGGAGTCTACGATGTCTGTGCGTTCGGAATCCTAAACTACCCGGATAAGAGGCTTTCCTCCAGAGAAGAAACTTGGGCTCCTTCTGGCATACCTCCTGAAAGTACTGCTCGATTTTTGGAATATCTTCTGGACGATTGTGCGCACCATCCGGTATCAATCGTCTGCCAGCGTCTGCCATATACCGCCATGTTTTTCGGGTCAATAACCATCTCTCTTTCATCGGCTTGCTTGACTTCTTGGTCCTCCGCTCTTTGGAGGTGGATGATGCCCCGTGGATGTCTGGATTGTCGCCACTATCACGACGCGAGCGCCTCCTTGCACTTATGCCACCGGGACGCTCCGCCATTGCGGCGTCCCACTCTTTTTTTGCCACACGCACCACTTTCGCGTTTATTATTTAGCCACGATTTGTCATTAATTATTAACTTACCATCGTCGACATACCAAATTATACGGCACAACTCACACATTCATGTGATGCCAGTTACACAAGAGCCGCTATTCAGAGACACTCAGCATCAGAATATCTGATTCATTGATCTTTGAAACTTAATCACCTTCTTGGGGTAAGTAACTGAAATATGAGCCACTTGTTTGGTTTACACACTCGTCACTGGAGACTACGATGTTTTTCTTTCCGCAGCACGTAAAATTGTTGAGTTAAGGAGGCAGCGTGTGCTGGGCAGGGATTCCTCGATCTTCTATTTTGGTATCAGCCACCGATCCGATTGCCCCGTGAAATTTTCGTAGCCAAATAGTTGAGCGGGTAAACTTTCAAAACCAAGGAGATATTTATCTCTGAGGATATCCAAAGATTTGTAGATTGAGTTGATGCTCGGTTCAGTGCAGACAGTAATTGATACTTAGGAATGTTCACTCATTTCACTTAGGCATTTGCTCTTTTTTTAGCTTTATCATTGACGATCACTTTTTCTACGGAATTTCATCGCTTCGAATCAGAAATTCAAGAGACATTCAAGCACTGGCACATGACTTGTTCCTTTGTCATTACTTTTCATTTTATATATGATTGTCTTGGAGATTTTGTTGTCTTAGGCGGTGAAAGATCAATGAGGCATTGACATGATTGGAAGGTAAATTTGTAATTAATTCAATGGGATGATGTTGAATGAGCAGAAAGCTCTGGTCCAATCGCCTGTCTGACGAGCCGGCAAGGTGGAGGCTGCCTAAGGTACGCGACTACTGCTCTCAGGGCGTCGCGACGACGTCGACGCTCTGTTTCTAAAATCGTCTACACACCGCTCTCGTTCCTCGTCCCGCTCATCTTTCTACCGATTCCCTAGTCTTCATAATTTTCGCTCGTCTCCTTCCATTTTCTTAGGTTGTTTCTTCGTTCCCTCAGCGTTTTCATTCCGAACAAATCTTCAGATGGAGTTGACTTTCCAATAGATTTTGACACACCGATGAATAACGACATCACGTGTAATGATTCTGGTCATTGCAGCTTGATGTCATTGATTATGTGGATGGACTTTCGAGGAAATCGGGTGGCGGTAATTAAATTTGATCACACGAGACCTTTAGTCGAGATGGGAAGATTCTGGATTTGGATTGGAAGATTCCAGCTGAATGAATGGTGATAAATTTCTGTATTTTGCGAGATGAAAGATTCGAGGATTGATTTTAATTGAAGGTTTGGCTAACATGTCACAAAGATGCGAAATAAAATAAATAAGACCCTGTACTAGCTTCAATATGCAGAGACAGTTATATTTTTGTTTCATAATTAATTATATCAAGAGTTATGAAACAATTGTTTTTTATTAATCGAAGTCACGAACTACTTACGATATTTGGGGAAAGAAGGAAAAATTCTTATGCCCGCGATATTTTGGCAATGTGACGCGATGAAGGAACCTCGGCCTAAATTTTGGGAGATTCACAAGTGGATCGCTTACGAGATGATCCCTTGGGGTCATCAGTGACGTAGGGAATACGTGTACATTTTTTGTGTTGTAGGCAAAAAAAAATAATCTAGATCAAGATCATGCGATGATAATCCCTTTCTCAAGAAACCTATCTGTGAATGAGTTCTCTTAATTAATCACTAATACGACTGCATGTAATTGAAAAATCGATATGAAACTCGAATGAAATGAAATTGTGATAATATATTGGAATGTAAATTTTTTTTTGTGACTAGAACGGAGCGTTAAGAATGTATTTCCTTCTTTCCAATATATCAAGAGTTATATTCATAGAATATATATTGGTAGAAACGATATAAACTCATCGTCAAATGTTTATGAATGCTCCATCTTTTTTCCTCTTTTCTTACTCAACGTGTGTTTAGATTCATTTCGCAGTGGGTGGGAATTCTTTTCAGCTATTAGGTCACGTAGGCTACAGTGAAGATGAGAACTTTTTCCATTTTTCATCTGGCGATCTGAGAGAAAAAAATATTGTTGAAGGTAAGGAAGATAAAGAAGCCAAGAAATAATCTACGATTTATGGTTTTCTACTGTTTGTCAGTCTCATAAGCTTTGAGTTTCAATCATAAAAGTTCTGTGTAAATGATGAGTAATGAAAGGAAGATTAGAACATTGTCGGTATAAATACGAAGTCATTGATCTTGGGGATAAAAATAGCGATTAGTTGATAGCATATTGATAGAATTTACGAATTGAGTGATATTTTTAATACAACGATTTATGGAGAAGTTTGTTTGGGGATTGAACTCAAGGAAGGAGTCAAGGAATTAAGTACGAATGTTACAACTGCATAATAGTTTTAATAACAGCTAATCGACCTCGATAAATCGTAAATCGTGATTGGTTGGTTTTGTCCGACCCCTCAGATGAAAATAGATGTTTAGATCCCCGCATACTCGACGTAAACGAATAAACCACTTTTTCTTCACTCCCGGCCCCATTGAAAATAGAACTCTGCGCTTCCCGAAATTAGCACTGTCCAGTCTGATCGATTTGCAAGATTTTTTTAACATTTTCAATCAAACATTTTAACCGTTCGAAATCCCATGGAATTCAGTAAACGTATATGATTGAGGGGTTTGTTTTTTTTCTCGAGATAAATAATGTAGAATTATAATCGACAGCAAGTGGCATTCCAAAGATTTTGGATGAGCAGTGGGAGAAGAGGTAATTGCAAAGAATATTTATTTATTTATTGATTTAATTTTATAGGGATCGTGAATTTCTTATCAACTTTTTTTTTATCCTTAAGTTATTTACGGATTTATTTACAGATAGTGGTCACTCATTAAGTTTGTGCGTGAATAAAAAAAGATTCAAGAAGCTTTCGTGTCCCGAAATATTCTCTCTGAAAGTTTTTGGGCTATTTCACAGTCCAGACTTCAGATAAACTCGCCTGGTAGACAACTCGGCGGCATTAACCGTGCTCTGACAGCTACAAACACTAAAGATAGCGAGTATCGTCATTACTTGTCTTGAAAGATCTTTCTATTTGCCCATCTTCAACTGTATAAAAAATTTGTGTAATATGGGTGAATTCAAAGCGGCTGAGAATTGTCAAAATCCGAAAGAAAGTTTTTTTTTCCAGCAGCCTCGGTTAAGGGAATCACTAATTAACGTCCAATTAACCCGTGATATTTACAATGAAACAAATTGTATACAATGATTCAAAAAAGAGCATTTTTGACAACTATTTTTACATATAAAATTTCCGTTTAATTTGTTTGTTAAATTGATCTGTAGGAATTTTGATTTGAAAAAAATTAATAAATTAAAGTAATTGGTATTCAAACACAAAAATAACTTCATCTTTTTAATGGAAATAATTTCCGTTGAAGGTTTTGAATAGTATTCGAACAAGATATTTGCAAAATGAACCGCAGGAGAGTCTCGAAAATCAATTGTTTGGCAAAAAATGTCTTCACATTTGTAGGAATAGCAATTTTTTTCTATTTGAATATTCAGGCAGAGCTCTTTTACTGTCCGGACAAAAATTAGTCGACAAAGATTTAGGAGTTTGTGGGGGAAAAAAGTTCAGGATAAAGGACTAATTTACGATCCCTTGTGCTCCGAACTGGAGAGCGGTTTAATCCCAAACAAATGCTGAAATTTAGAGAAAAGTTATGTCTCTAGAGTAGTAAACTTTGTCTTGAATTCTTCGTTGTGCCCAGTAAGGGTATTCTTAGATATAATTTCGTCTTTAGACAGCGGTAGTCCACAATTTAAAGTGGCAATACTTTTAAATTGAACTCAAAAATGATTAAAAACCAAAAAAAAAATCAAAATAGAATCATCACCCATAAAAAACACAAAACTCAATTTTCTTCGGAAGGATAATCTTTTCCTTAATTTAATCATCATTTGGATATTTCAAAAAAATATTTCTAAATACATCTTTAAGCATCTGATGCAAACATCAACGATTTCATTGGTCTTGTTAATAAAAATCTAAATTTTCGATCATTAATGTTAAAAAAATCAAGTTTTACGATTCATTTATAAAAAAGAAATATAAAAAAATTTCAATTTTCAAAATTTTGCCCTCCCCCTCCGCCTCCCCAGGCTAAATTCGTGCAATAAGTTGCAATCCCTCCCTTAAATTTTCGTGAAAAAGCGGTTCTTTACGCACTCATAACACAACATAATATTTCACGGGACCGAACGCGCGCTCCGCGCGCCGTTTGATTCCGTGGTGTTGATGATGACGTAGCCAATTGACCAATGAGAAATAGGGTTACGAGTGAAAAGTCTTACGCATGAAGTTAGCCAATCTTACTCTCGCCCAACTTAATTTTGGTGTATCACCTTTTATAGATAGGATTACAATATGCGGGAAGTGAGATTTTGCACATGTGGAACATGGGTAAAATGTCATTTTCCCCACAGTGTGTTGAAAAATAAATGTTGAACAGCTGTTGCGTTAGGGATCTACGTAAAGAGTAATGTCTGACCTCATCGATCAATGACGGTCGACGCTTGGCACTCGTGGCCTGGTGTGATGCTATTACTTTGCTCGAAAGATAAACTATTCGCACACACCACACCATGAGCTTGTCAGGCAAATTAGCACAGTGTCATCAGCTGTAGTATAGACAAACCTGATATTCACTTTACGAATTGAAACATTCAGATATTCTACTCTGTATCATATACCGTGAGATCATCTTATTCAGCACAAAAATAGGTTCCTGGAATCA